GTTCATCAAAGGTGTGAAAAGATGTTTACTATAATCTAAATTGATTAAATAAGACAGGATAGATATTAATAACCATGGTTTTATTAACTCCATTATAATAGTCCCTTCATCAATCCTCAGAAAGTTTGTTATCGGATGTATGGCGTCCCCCTCGATAAAATATATAAGCTTATATAATCACAACTTAACTTTTAATTATTATTCGTTAAATCTTCAAAGAAATTAAAATAAAAATATTTTTTTTTATATAACTTTAAAAATTTTATTTTTGTATAATTTCTGTTAGATTAATAGATTTTTTTTTTCAATTAGAAAATTAAAATGGGAGTTTTTATACTTTTGAAACACGTAAACAAAATAACACGTTAAATAAATGAGTAATTTTGTACGCCCATGTAAACAACGCCAATTTATTTTTAGAAAAATGATTTATGTCAGGTGAAATGTCCATAAGACTATGTCGATCATAATTGAAAATTATTGTAACACCTAAAATTATTAACTGCAAACTTTTTTATATATGCGTTCTTTAACTTTTTATACTTAATAAAACTTGAACATTATTAGATTTTTAATTTAAAAAAACTTGTTCATTTGCTTTTAATATATGTATAATAACTTTATTAACCATTAAAATTTGGTTTTTTTTCATATTAAAAGTTAAGATTCTTGTGTTATTTACAATTATTTCAAAAAAAAAGTATCTAATCATATAAAAATTTAGTTACTTTTTTATTCTAATAGACTTATTAAATTAGTTTACTACATAGTTTTTTACAAAAAATGAATAATTTATATTTATCTTATAAAAATATGATCAAAAAAAGTTAAGTTTATTTTTTAATTACAAATTTTTTTTTATGATGTGAAACATATTAATTAATACATGATTTATCCTATTCTTCACCCAAATTTTAAATAACTTTAGCTATTTATCCATCTGTAAGTGTTTCTAATTCAATTAGTGGTTTTAATAATTGCTTTTCAAATAGTTTTGTAACTTGACACTCTTGTTTTCTTTTTTTTGATGATTTATAATTTCATTTATAGAATTGTTTTTTAATAATATATTTTTCTTTTTTTTGTATTTTATTTTAAATTTCTAATCATTTGGTTTTCATAGCTTAATATCTAGCTTTCTTCTTCCAACCTTATTACTCTTTTGTATTAATATTATATCTTGTAAAAATATTGATTTAATTCATAAGATTGCATCAGAATAATAATTTTTAAGATGTGTAATACTATCAAGAGTAAATTATTCTATAATAATATTGGTTCACAATAGATTTTGATAATGATTATAATCATTAGAATTATTAAATACTATTAAAAGCTTATTAACTAAATTTTATATTGCATCTTTATGTTGATTAATAGCTCATTCTTCAATTGAGATCAAAAATTTCATAACTTGAAAATAAAACAATCAACATACTACACATGTCTTTTGAAGTATGCTATTGTCTAAGAATTAGATACAAATATGACTATTACTTACATTATTTCATAAGTCTCTTAAAAATTGCTTTATCTGCTATTACATCCAAATATTTTTGTATATGTAAATTAAATCATTTATATACATTTTTGTAGATTGGAATATTCCTTTATCTGAGTTTGAGTTCCTTCTATATCTAATATTACTATATTTGATAAATCTCCAGAATATCTATATTCTATCTTTTCTAAAAGTTTACAATAAATAAATATAATATCAAAATTCTTATTATAAAAGAATTATTCACTTTTATTTATATGAAAATCAAAAAGATCATCTACAATTTCATTAAATATTTCTAACATATTCCTAATCATACCATTCATACCAAAAAGTCTAGTAGAAGATGTAATAGTTTTTTCATTATTAGGGTTTTCGTTTAAAAACATCGACATTTTAATTTGAAATACCATTCTAAGAGTTGTATGGGAACTATTACAAGTGATATCAAAAATATTACCATATTTAAAAGTCTTTTCTTTAAAGTTAATATTATTAATAATTGCTAGATTTCAGAGATTATGACCCTTTCACAATCTTTTTGTTAAGTTAACTTTAATCATCTATTATTTCTCTAGTCATTTTTTATAACACTTTGTATGACTAATAATATTAAAGTTTGATAAAAGTTTTAAAAATAATGAAAATAATCTAGGTTTCTGAGATAAGCTAGCTATTATTTGATCAAACCAAATACCAAGAGAAGAAAATATTATACTAATAATAATTGAAACAAAAAAAGTAGTGATTTTAGTTATATATTTATAATTAAGAATATTTGCAGATTTTGGTGTTATTTTTATTTGATATTTGAGATAACTAATTTTTTTTAAAAAATTTTAATTAAAAGTCCATCAAAAACTAATTAAAAATGCCAGAAAGTTACATAATAATTTGAAAGAGAGTTTGGCAATTGTATTTTTAATTTTCTTGTTATTAATGCTTTTTGAAAATTCCAAACTTTACTCGCTAATTTAATACCAATTTCCTTCTATTTGACTTTATTCCATTCTGATTTCAATTCCAATTTAATAAATTTTTTACTTAATTTAAATGCATTAATATCTTTAAAAAAAACTAGGTATTTGAAATAAAAAAGGAATTATTTTTGTAGGATTCAGAATTATGGATTTAAAAATATTGTTATTGTTATAATAGTCATCATTTTTTGAATTACAGTAAAGTCCAAGGGATTTCCAAAAAAAGATTTTGTGTAACTGAATATTGATCAAAGAAATCAGATGTTCAAAAATTTTTTGATTGGTTATTTTAAGTAAAAGATTCATAGATGAGGATTTCTAGAAAAACTAAATGTTAGTTTATCAATAATTGTTGAAATAATCACGTTTGAATGTGCTTTTTCATAATACATTGACCTTTATTCATAATCCATAAAACTGACCAAAATATACTTAGCACACAAAGCTTCACCAGCATAACGCATATTCTTCATTGCAAGCTCTAAGTTAACTACTTGGCCTTGAGAGTTAAGATGGGAACCATATTTATCAATTGGCAATGTGATGCCAGCTAGCTTTTGAGAGAGCGTTGCCATATTACACTCAACAGGGTTGTATGCTATACCTTAAATTTAGGTTTTATAAGCTTTTTTTTTATTCAATTATTTAAAAACTGTAACTAACTCTCGCTTATTTTTGACCCTTAGTGAATGCAAAAAAAAACCACTGGCTAATACTTTATCATGTTTATTTGCTGCTCTTACTAAAAAGTATTCAAATTCAAGCAAGTTTGTTTTATGTGAGACTAAACAAAAACAACGATGGTGACATGTATCAAGAAAAGCAGTATTTGAACGAATAGGTCTTTTTGCTAAGTATTTTCCAGAATTAGAATTGTTAAGTAAACATTTAGAGCATTATTCTTTCTGTAAATGACATTATAATCAAATAATTGATATTAATCATCTTCTTAAGCATTTAAAATCAATAGATACATCAGACGTCTCCTCTATTAAAGTAAATTAACGTAAACGATCACGAAATGCTATTGATGATAATATATTTCAACCGTCAATAATTGATGATAATATGCCTCAATCAATAATTAATCAGAATAAAAAAAAACTGTTAGCGAAATTAGAATTCAAGTTTCTTTACCGGATCCAAATATGAATAGCCTTCTATTGGAATTATCTCAGAATAAAGCAGACTTATCTGCTTTTGAATTTCAACGGCTACAAGATATTAAACTTATAAATGAATATCAGCAAGTAATCTATGAAAATCAGCAAATTATCAGTGAATTAAAATCTCAAATTAAAGACTTATCATTTGAAAATCAGTTATTAAGAAAATAATGGAATAATCAATTCAATGATCAAATAAAACGTATTATAGCTATAATAGAAATTGCCCAAAAAGAGCGTAAAAATATATATAATGATATTATTGTTTAATAAATAATCAAGAATGATTCAGTTTAGATAATCTTTTAAAGTATTCAATTTTTCAATGGCTTAATGATCATAATCCAGTTATTGTTAAATTTGTAGAATCTCTTACAAATTATGATAATAATAAAAAACTTGAAGGAGAGAAACTTTTTAAATGTGCTGAAACAATAGATATGATTTATGGGGTAAGACATTTAAATATGTATCTGCTATTAATTTAGCAGCATCAGTGGTCAAGTATTCTATAGCAAAATCTAAAACTATTATTAACATTGATAATCATATCATGAGTGCTGGTAGTTATACTAAATTTATTAAATGGTAAGAAGATTTAGCGGGTGAACTAGAACTATTTCCAAAAGGATTATTATTTATGGCATTTAATAATGAACAAAAAGGACAAAAGAATTATCTAGATCGTGGATATAATACCGTTATTTTTCATACTGTTACAAATTTTGCTTTATTTAATTTTAATTCTACTAATCAAATACAGAGTCTTAAAAATCCTTGGCTACACCTAAGAGTTTAGACAGACGTCTAAATGGTAAAAGTAAAACTTGGTTAAATTATATTAAAACCTTATTAAAAAATCTGCGAAATTTGGAAAAAGGTAAAACTATATCAAAGCTTATAAAAATGGTGAAACTATATCAAACACTTAGTAAAAATTTAGCAAAACTAAAGGTTTTACTGTTTTGCCAAATCCAAAATGAATTTAAACAAGCAACCTTAGCTACATCAAACCCTTAATACATTACAAATTAAAGAATTATTTAATCTCACTCCAGAAATGCAAGCATTACTTGACTAACAGCTTAATGATTATCTATCTATTATCTTAACTGATGCATATGTAGAAAAAAATGAAATATAAATCATATTGATAATCTAATTGCTAAATAGAATTTAAATATAGGTAAACAAAAGTATTGTCATGAATGTGGAAAGGATGAAATTGAAAACTCCAAGCGTAAATGTTCTCAATGTAATGCAAAACTTCTTACATTACTAAAACCTAACAAGAAATTGAACAAATAATGCCTGAAGAAGATTTTACAAAGTCCTTTATTTTTAAATCTCATAAATTTGAAACAAATGTCTCTGATATGCAAACAAATTTGATTAGTATAGCATAACAATCAACATCCCAAAAAAATGTTCATATACCTGATATTTATGTTCCGGATCCTTTACCAATAAATCCAAATTCTATTGCATATGTCTGTAAAGTTTTAGATCATATTCAAGAAATTAGTGGAATTAATAATGGTGATCAAAAATGAATAGTAGTGATTTGTGATGGAGTTCCTTACCATTATGCACAAAAATTCAAAAAGGATTATTCAGGAATACTCTTAGTATTAGATCCACTTCATAAGGAGATAAACATGTTAAAGGTCTTTGTAGAACTAAATTGGTATTATTATCATTAATATTAATCATTCTAGAATTATTTCTAATAATAATTTTTTTATTTATACACGAAACTTTAGGACTATTGATCTAAAATACTTTGCATAATGCCAAGGATATAGAACTGAAAATCAGCTAGGTTATTTTAAAAAATGTGCTGATCATCATAAAACGTGGGATTCAATATGCAATATTTACCAGCATGGAATGGTAATGGAATTGGTTTGGCCTTATATTAATTCAGTTTCTAATCCATCAGTTAGTGTGTTTCTTGAATAGGCTATATTGATGATTAATATTCTTAAAATTTTATATTAATACTTAAATCAATTTTTTAGATTTTCTGGTATCTGCAAGCTATAATAAACTTTTGTACTGGAGTTAGAACCAATCAACCTTTGCTTAAATCAGCTGCATATAGAATATTTGCTCCTATTTGGTCCGCTAGGTGACATCCTATTTATCAAGCAATCAAGGTAGCTGATAAGGAACAACTAATATGCTTTCGTCTTGAAATTCGTCAACTTATTGAGCAAAATGTGGTTATATCACGATCAGGGTAGCCAAACCAGCATCAAGGGTTAGATGCCATACTTGAAGAGGTGAACAAGATGTTAAAGACGTTTATATCACCTATACCAGTTCAAAAACATTGGGAGATGGCTGCGAGAAATTGTACAAAATTGGAGGTAAGAATAAATGTATCATTATTATTTGAATGTATTATTCATTATTTTTTTTACAGATAAAATAACCTTACCTTCAGTATCAGAATCAATTACGAAAAATATTATTTGCTGTAATCGGATATGCGGATTCTGAAAGTACTAGTTTACAGACACATTCCGATTATATAACAGAATTACAACGTTTTCAAATTCAGTTGAGGAAAACTGGTTTTTTTAATTTATATGAAAATAATCATTGTTTTGAAAGTTTAGGCAGGATAATAAATTGAGCAAAAAAATGAAATCATTTAGTATTCTAACTCATACTCAATGTATTAATTATATAAAAGAAAAATTGACCTTAATGAAGTCATCAGGATTTATTCGTCCTATTTCTGTTACTTTCGATGAAGCATAGTTACAGTCAACGGAAAGTTCAATGAAAAAAGAAGAGCTAATATTTGTAATTGAAACATTGGTTAGATCTTTAAACGAAACTAATCGATCACAATTCCAAGGATTAAAATCAAAAAGAAAAGATGAGCTTTTGGTAATTCTGCAACAAATTTGGAATCTTCTCAATATAACTAATAGTGATAAAACAGAAGATACAATATAAATAGCGGAGTAAAATAATTGTAAAGTTAAATAAAAATTTTTTTAATTTTGTATCATTGTTGATCTCAATAAGCTTCCAGAATGTTAATCATTTACATATTTGGAATTTCTATATATAGAAAAACACTGGACTGTACTAGTAGGGTTGTTAACAATCTGATCCATCTGATCTCGATCTGGTCTTTATCGATCTGGGGGGTGAGATTGGACTGAGAATCATCTTCAATGATGATCTTATAGACTGATTTTAGACCGATCTTTTAGAACGCTTATAACCCGATCTTAATAGCATTACAAAAAAAAAGTATTAAAAGCTGAATTTATTGATTACCCAAAATAAAATGTTTTTTTATTATTATATTAATGTTAAGAATAAAATAAATTTTTATTCTTTTTCACATGTCTTTTCTAAATCATTTGAAACCCAATATTTAGAAAGAGTCAAAAATCAAGTATGAAATTTTTCAATGATTAAACTGTGATTGAGTTACTATTTCAAATTTGATATATTAGAATATTGTAAAATTTTTAATTAAATAAAAGTTTCAAATTTTTAGTTAATAAAAATTCTAAAAAGATTATAATTAAAACTTAAAATCATCTATTTTTTATAACATTAATTAAATTTTTATTAAATATTGAGATATTAATAATACAATTATAACTAATTTCAAATAAAATCATGATTTAGTTAAGTCAACTAAAAATTATTTAATAGATGATTAAACTAAATTCTAAAATTTGCATTAGTTAATACTTTTTTGATATAACAAACTTTAAAATCTAGATCTTAACTTTATTATAAATTTATAACAAATTTCTTTAAAGAATTTAATTGGCTGGTTCACTATAATAAAATATGTTTAATATATTGATTTAAAAATTCACTATATCATGCATTTCACTACATACTAATATTATAATATAATCATTTTAAAAATAATAATTTAAAAAAAATTTAAAAAATGTAATATTTTACAATTTTTATCTTTTACTATAAACTAATACAAATTTTATATAAATTAATATAAATAAGCTTATACATATTTATTAAATTTATGCAATTTATACTAAAAGTTAAAATTAGCCTAAAAATTCTTAATCAATTAATAAATTCCTTATAAAATTAATTAACCAATTAAATTTAACTTAAGTTAAAACTTTAAATTTAAATGATATAACAAAATATTTTGTTATCATAAAAAAATCTTAATTTTAACTAAAAATTAAATTTAACTTGAATTATTTTAACTGGTTAATTAATAAATTAAAGTATTATTAATTTATTATTACTTCTATTTAAATCAGTTAAATTATAATTTCTTAATAATTATTATTAAAAATATTTAATTTACTATATAGTATCAAAAATAAGCATTCTGTACTTATATATATACTAAAAATATGCATTTCTAAATAGTATTTTGATCAATTTTCATT